GCATACATACACGCCTACATACGGAGCACTTATACACATCTAATATATAGTACAACAGTACATACATAGTACAATACATAGTACAATACATAGTATACATTTAGTATACAGTACATAGTACAATATTGCATACACGCCTACATACAGAGCACTTAGCACATAGCACACATTAGTATACAGTACACAGTACAATAGTGCATACACGCCTACATACGGAGCACTTATACACATTTAATATATAGTACAATAGTACATACATACCTGAGCTTGGACCCATAGTGCAAATAGTGCATACATACCTACATACAGAGCACATAGTACATAGTACACATTTAATATACAGTACAATAGTATGTAATAAACCCAGTCTCGTTGGAAAGCCAATCAGCAATGCAAAGGATGTCCGAACCCAGTGCGACTTCTGGAGTCTCCAATCATCAATTACAAGTCCAAGTCTCGGTCATATGCACAATTCAAGAGTATTATCCCGTCAAAGACGAGCATGAGAGACGAGCAAGGGGAGAGAAGAGAAGGGAGAGAGTCTCAATGATAACCAACAGTATAAGTATGTCTCACTCTCTCTCTCCCACTTCCACTTCGGCCTTCTCCCCTCTCGCCACCTCAGCAATGAATGTTCCCTCTGACCGCCTTTGTCATAAAAGATCAATACATGGCGCTCATCCTCCCTCTACGTCAGCAATCAGATATGGAGGATGGCGCAGCACTTATTCATCTTTGTGGAGACAGCAGCAGATCACGCGTGCCGTCGCCAGGTAAGCCTAGGTAAGCTTCCCCACATCTCCTGTCAATGTCACAGCTCTGATCCTCCTCCTCCTTGCCAATCCTCATCACCTAGTCTACATCTATGTGACTATGGCCGCGGCAGCATAATCTCCCTCTAGGCTGGCGCCCACTTCCAGCATCCGGCACCAGCATCCAGCTCCAGCAGCCTCGCAATACAGCACTAGCATCAAGCCAGCGCAAGGCAGAATGATCTCCACGGTGGCTGGGTCAACTCTTTACAGTGTTGACTTGCGTTGACTAGCCTCCACCCTCCTTGGGTCAACGGACCAGATTATCTGAAAGTCAATGGCCTGGATGCAGTGCTGTCCCATGCTTCCCTGTGTCGCACTTAGACCGGCAACTTTGACTTTGTCCTGTCTCTCCCGTGCTTGGTCTGACACTTGATTTTCCAAGAGTCAACTACCGGGCGTGGGGCCTCTGGACGCTGTTTTTGGCCCTGCCCTGGGTACCCCTTGACTTTAGGCCTTTGCCCAGGCTTTTCTCAGACTTGGGGCGTGACTCTTGACCCCAGTTTCAGGCCTTTGACCAAATGTGACGACCTGTAGCCCACGGCCTTGCAGATTTGGGTTGAGTTATTGCAAGTGCATACATACACATAGTATAGAACACAGTACAATAATACATACATACACATATACTAAAACATATAGTATACAGCACAATAGCACTCACGTACCTGAGCTTGAACCCTCTTCAAGAATCTGAAGGAACTCTCTAGTTTTTCCCTGCTTGAAGTACTCCCTCTGCCATCAGGACCCAGAAGGAACACCATCCCAAATGAAAATTTAATAATTATCATAAAATTCATTACCCCGCCAAAGGGGAAAAAAAAATTACATTGGTTTGTGTGGCTTTCAGGCCTTGCTCGATGATTTTTTTCCCCGGGGTTGTGGTTTGTCAGAGCAGCAGTCTAGATTTGGCCATTTCAGCTCCTCGTGGATGTTTCCCTGCACCTAAACTGGGTAATGGTCCCAGTACAGGCTACCAGTCGGGCCGCCCGGTGACCTTGTTTTCCCGGGCGACCCGGCCGTGCAAGGACCACGGAAGGTCCCGGCAAAAAAAAAAAAAAAAAAAAAAA